CACACACACACACACACACACACACACACACACACACACTATTTATGACTGAGTGGCTGAGCATAGATATTTGGGGCATTTGCCAATCCTAGTTGCTATGGCAATTGAGCACTACTGAAACTGGAGAGCATGTGCATGTTTGCGTGTGAGAGAGAGAGGAAGAGTGCATGATTGTAAACAGATGTGTCAAAGTTATGCGACAACACTTCACTGCAGAGTGGGACAAGGTTGCAACCTTTTCCCCCATCAGTATCCAACTGTAGAACAAATGTATCATCTTCCATGTGATGTACCTGCAAATATCTGCTTTGGCAATATGTGTGCACACGCATGTTGTGGCAATGACAGACCTGAGAGAGGAGTAGACGCTCAAGGAGCAGGGTTGGGGGGAGAGGAGGAGAAACTGATAGAATGAAAAAAGACAAAAGCTTAACTTCTAACCCCCTGACACTGCTGCAAACAATCCCAGTGTGTCACAGAGAGAGAGAGAGAGAGAGAAGAGAGGGGGGGGGGGGTTATATAATGACCCTGATGCAGGGTTCAGCTCATATGGGGGAGGGGGCCTGTGGTGGTCACACTGCATCTAGTTCCTGCTGTCAGAATGAATTTGTTGGGTAGGCAGAGCCCACCACTACTCATACGATGCAGCACCAGGCACAACACACACACACACACACTACTGATTAGTGTGAGAGCCGTCGGCACTGATTCATGGGTTAGTCCTATAGTCTGCCTCACTCACTCAAGCACATAAATTTTTCTCGGTGCAGGCATCCCACCGTGAGCCAAGCCCACTGGCAAAAAAAAACTATGTTTGAGTGAGAGTGCTGAGATTGACAGGTGGAGCAGAGGAAGTGTGTGGGTGTAGGGGATGGACGCCTCAATGCAGAATAAGCTTTACAGTATGGATGTGTGCGGTGTTCCTCGAACGCGTTAACAACTGCACAATCCTCCCATTGTTTGGGAAAACCCCCTTTCTGTGCTCTCAATTAGCAGCCCCCTTCACCATACCAGCACCATGAGCAGGAATACACACCCCATTTGTTCTCAGTCACTCCATCCACAGGCTGCCATAGCAACCCTCACAGTGAGGTCAGTCACATCAATGGGAAACAATCCCTACACTCATCTAACAGCCTGCGTTTCTGATAATTCCCCAGGAACAAGACTATGGCACTTCCCCTGAGTCCATGTGGAGGTGAAACCCTTCAGTCAGCATCTGTTCACACATCATGTCAGTGACACCTACTATCGGCACAACACGCTTAAATCATCACAAGGAAACAGATGATTATTTATGTTTTTAATACTAGCCCTTTAGCACCGTACAAAGTACCAGGAATGTTACAAATATGATTACATATATTAATTATTGGCTATTTACCAGCAGCTTTTGTTCAAGTATTAGAAAATCTGGCATGTGATGAGCTGAAATGTAATTTTGATCTGATGTGGTTATTCCATAGTGTCACTTTGCATAACAAGTACAAAAAACCATGTCAGAGCATTCAGAAAGGTTAATCATATTTGACAACATTTCTACACTGAGCTTTACTTTGTTTACAGGCACCCATAACACGCTAAAAGATAGCTTTGTCATCAGAGTTCATCAGGTCAGGTAAAAGACTTGAGTCAAAACATTATGATGTGACATTAACACGGCTATCACTTGGCACTGAATACATAAGGCTGGAACAAATCTACAAAAAACACTAATAACTGAACAACATGGATGGACAAGCAATAACGCTTTTCACTTTTCAAATTTCAGCATGTCGTATTTCTGTTTAGGATCAGTTCGATTAATATTCTTTACCCCTATCAACTTAGAAGGTAGCTATTAATCTATGGTTTCATCAAGATGTGCAGCTCGAATTGTTACGAAGCAGAAGATTTTGAAAGGTTTGTCAGTGAGATGCAGTTTTTTTGCTATATTTATATTTCAACAAAACAATATTTTTTTTTTGATTTTTTCATCCATCCTATGTACACTGAAAAACAAGTTAATCCCTGCCAATGTCTAAAAATGTAAGAAGCATTTCTTAACAAGACTCACACCTTCAAATAACAGAGAAAATACCACGTTTAAGTAAAAGGGAAATACTAAAATTTGTTTTTTTTCCTATAGGTGGAGCTTTTTGAATCTTGAGGTATGATGAGCGGAAAGATTAAGTGCCGTCTTTTCTTCCTCTGCAGAGGATCATGTGTGAATCTTAGATGAATGATTTTAATCTTCAGCTCCTTAGTAACATGTGGTTGCTATGGCAAGTTCAATAATTACAAAGCTGTAAAGTCAGTCTTTAGCGCCCTCATGTGGAAAAATACTATAACAAATATGATTCCATTTGGATAGAAATACTACGAGGATGCTGCAGTGACCTGAGATCGAGAACAAGAGGATTCATCTGAAAATGTTGCTACAGTCGAAGCAATCAAGTATACTAATGTGGACTTTTTCCAAAATCCTGCAGTGATATTACACCAGTGTGTCTGACATTTCAGATTTTCTGTTGTCAGTTTTTGGCATCTGGACCAGATTGTAATTCACAAAGATTGACCCTGGGACTAGTTTAGGGATGCAGCTAATGGTTTTTAGTTCTGTTTAAAAAATGGACCATCTGCTTTCACATGTATTCAAACTCATTTTGAACGTGGTCAACACCTGGATCTCCACTGTCAAGGTTTGTTGTACCAATTCATGGAACGCCAGAGAGCTCTCTCCCAGCTCTGGAGGACGGGGATGTACTCCCGATTCCGACTGTCAGCACTCCCCTTAGGTACCACTTGAGGCAAGAACACCTTGTCAGTGCTATGCAGCTTCTTCAGCTCTCCCTGGCTCTTCCAGTAACCTGCAGTGACAGATGAGCACAAAGGAAGACTTTATCAGCGTGAGGGATTCAAATGAGTTAAGTCCCCCAAATGAACAGGAAGTCAATGACCTACAGTAGAAGGTAATGGATATTTTGGATATCACTTCACACTATTGTCCACTGGTCCATTATGAACTAATGCTCCTCAAACACACCTGCTTCTGTCATCTTTTAAAACGGGAGCAAATCCTTCTTGTCTCTTTGATTTGAATAAACACTGGCTAATATATAACACTTTAATTGCATAATGTGAATAATTAAATAGAAAAACGGTTACATAACAAAACATCAGTATTTCATCTGCTTTCCTCTGCCATTGTCAGCAAGAATAAAAATAGGATTTTTGATCACAGATTTTCAAATGAAACTCAGTTTCATGACCAAGTGTTGAAATATTTTTAGAGATAAGAGAAGAGCCGTTGTGAAAATAAAGAGTGAAGGGTTGAACTGTTTTGACGCACAACTGTAAATTAAAACACTGAGGACACTATCCCTCCCTATGCAAATGATAAAAGTGTGGATTTAATTTTAAGCACTAGTCGAGTGCCTGTTCTAAACCTGCCTGTTTGCTTGGCCTATGGTAATGCTGGCTGTAGCTTTCTTTCTGAAAATGTCAAAGTTACCTGCAGTAGCTCAGCCCCTCAAGTAAAGACTGACTGCTGGCCTCAGTCTGCAGAACCCTGAACACCACTTAAGTCAATGAGTTCAAGTCACCGCTGCTACACTTCTGGAATTATCCGACAGATACAGCATAATGCCAATATTGTGTGTTGGGACCTGGTATCTGTGAACCATAGTTGGGCCTACATGTGTAGTCAAAAGCCTGACCACATGTCTCCTTTGTTCTGGWMACAAAGGACAGCTTCCAGAACTCAGTCTCCCAGGGTGCTTCATCTTCACACACAGGTGGTAAAACTGCTCCTGGAGACAACTCTCAACCACTATTGGTCACTGTGTGCCCCATGACCCATGAGGTCACCAGGCCAATATAAGCCGAGTTTCCCCTCTGCTAGTCCTCTTTCCTCTTCTCTTGTCGCCCTTCTCTCGTCGGCCTCTTCCCCTGCCGACCTCTCCTGGAGGAGTAGGGTCTGGCCCTGCTCTCCCAGCCAGGGAGACTTCCTCCCTCCACAAGCTCCTCAACTTCCAGCAGGCCTGCCTGGAGCAGACTGCTAAAACCTTCCAAAGGCAGCGACGCAAGAGCCTGCCTAAGAACTTCAGCACAACTGGCCATGACACAAGGTCTGACCAGCAGATGCACAACAGGATCCACAAATCAACAAGACCACTTCACTGGACTTCGAACAGCACATCCAAAAAGGACCTTTACCTCTTTTTCATTGACGGGTAACACAACTGGGCTTTATTATTACGCTAGGCTAAGCAAAGGACTGTTTAATCCTATTACTATTTCATGTGATGTTTATAAGTTTGACTTGTGTTGCTGTGATATTTGGTAATATGTTATTTGAAAGTTAATGTTAGTTCTGTTATGCTGATCACTTCTTTGCATGCATCTAACTATTTTCTTTAACCTGGCACCAACACCTCACACACTCATCACCACAAACTTAACACCTACATGTGATCTCAGCCACACGGTCTCACCACTCCAGGGGGCCTTTTGTCTTCATAGTGGCCAGCTGCCATTTTGAATCTCAGTCAGTCACTCACTCAACTCACTCACTCACTCACACACACACACACACACACACACACATACATGCATACTCGCATACACATCTGTATATAGTAAGTACACCTTTTGTTAGTTTTTGTGTTTATACTTTTATTATTCTCATAATAAATGTTTTTCTTCAAAACGCGTCTTAGTTAATGTTGCATAAGTGTGAATTTTGCCAACCTCTACACTGTCAAGAACTCCATATCCTTCAACTTTGCTAGCTATTGATGTGGTGATTTTGGTTATAGTTATTTATTTAATTATTAATCAGAGTTCCAAATTTGTAGTCAGTAATTTCATGAGACTTATTCAATAAATTGGTTATCTTTTCCCTTCCTTTGAAGGTTGGTGCCCCGATTTATCTTTTATTAGTTTAATTATTATTTAATATTAATATTTTTAATATTAATATTTTATTTCACTGATAGCCACATTTATTGAATGCCCAAAAGCACACCATTTAATGGTTCCCCCGCGTGAAGGAAAGTACATAATCGTACCCCGCGTGAGGGAAAGTACATAATAACAGCATTAATACCAACATTTTTGGTGCTCCGTGTGAGGCAAAGTCAGTAATAATAACATTATTTTGACGCCACGTGGAGCAGTGCACAACATGTGTGTGGATGTGTCTCTGCGTACCAGCTTCCAGCCCAGCAAGAAAAGCAGCCCCCAAACACGACATCTCATGGTCTTGCCGTCTTGCAACTTTCCTGCCGAACAGGTCTGCAGTCAGCTGCATGACAAAGTCATTGGAGGAAACACCACCATCCGCCCTGAGAGGAAAGGAACCAAAGACAAGGCATTGAGTTGCACTGCAGCTAACTTTACTGGAAGGGTATGAGAGAAACATGAAGTAGACCTGTAATGGATTGCCAATAAAAACTGGAGAAGCAAGTTACACGAGAGTCCACTCTGTTTTATTAGTCTGCTAGATTCAATCTGCATCCCACGATCAGATTTTGCACTGTAAGCTGCAGTGGCCAGACTGAGTTTAAGGTGTCTTTTCCCCCAGTAGATCAAATGTACATTACTATAATCACATACGTATGATGTAGACAGACATGCACAGTGTACCTGATCTTTGTGATAGGAATCCGTGTTTCTTTCAGCATCGTCTCATAAAGCTGCTTGTTTCTACAAAGAATTAAAAATAAGGAAGACCATGAATTATCATAATTGAGAAGTTAAAAAAGAAACAATCTCTTAAAAAATGACTCACCTGAATGCGACAGACTCCAGTATGGCACGGACCAGATGGCTTTTTGTGGTTGTAGGTTTGAGGCCCATGAGTGACGCACAGGCTTTAGGGTCATTCAGGGGAGCCTTAAATAAATAGAGTATGTACACAAACATGTCAAGTGAAAAAACAGATGGTATGCAAACAAGAGTTAAACAGTTAGACCTCATATCTTTTGCAATAAAGTGAAACTCAACAATCTCTGGATAACAAAGTAACTATACTGTTCTACTTGGTTACCCTGTGTAACAGTAGCTCTACGTTAAACAAGCAGAAGTGATTTGTAATCATATCTTTCAAAAGAGCCGTTAACATAAGGACACACACTTACAAAGGCCAGTTCACAAAGGAGGGCAGAGAAAAAAAAGAGACACAAAACCATGTTACAGTGGAAAATAAGGCAAAACAGGACATAAAGGTCTGTAATGGCTAAATATCATTATTGTCAAACAATGTCCACTGATATGTGCCGCAATAGATACACACATGTTTTTGCTTTGGGTGAATAAACTGTTATTTCATCTGTTTAAGTGTTCTGACTATACTGGAACTCCCTCCTGGCTCCTCCTCTGCAGCTCATCCAGAATGCAGCTCAACTGGTCTTCAACCTACCTAAGTTCTCTCACACTACAGCCCGTCCACTCCTCTCTACATCAGTCAATCGGCTTGCTGCTCCCTCACTGTGTGTAGCCACTCAACAAAATCACAACTTTTTGCTCAAAAGGCTAAAAACACATCTCTTCCGAATACACTTTGGTTAAGAAGATGATGGTCCAATCATAATAATTAAGTTTAGTTGCACTTTTATATTGCACTTATATGATGCACTTTGTAGTTTGTCTTTTTTGAAGCAAATTGTACTAACATGATTCTTGCTGTTCTGGGTTTGTACCCTCATGGTTGAATGCACTTATTTTAACTCACTTTGAATAAAGGGTCAGCTAAAAGATATGTAATAATACACATCTACCTGCAGGCCACTGAAGGAAGGTACGAAGCACACGCCATCAGAGTCACTGACACTGTAAGCCATGTCACTGGTCTCCCTGACGTCAGAGAAGAGCTCTGTAACAACACACACCGGTTTCACACATTAAATCTGTCACTTACTGACTCACTCAGCGATTTACTACACATAGATATATTTAAAAGCTATGTGATACGATTTTTGGCCACTAAGGCCTGCAGAGCAATCTGAAACCAAAACACTAACATATTATACACTTTGAAAGTGGCTATGATGAACATGTGGAAGTGCAGTTACCTATTTAAACATCCTGCAGACACAGAGAAACATTAGCTTTCACTTGGGGTCATGTTTCAGGCCCCCTGACAAATATCACCTCCTCTGTTTGCTCTGTTTTTAGTTCCCACCCACTCCTGAGGGATATATCAGTCTTTAGCTGCCATATTCTTCACTATGTTCTCCAGCTTGTTGCTAACTTTGCATGTCATTTGGTGTTGAGCAGACTAAAAAACATGTTAATCAGACACACTTGTACAAGGTTTCTGCAGGTGTCAGCTGTTATGGAAATGGTTATGGTTAAGGTTTCTTTTGTTCATTTCTTTTTTCCCCCACTTAGTATGCATTGTCTAATTTTGGTCCTCTCTAATCCAATTGTTTGTCAATTTCAAGACTTTTTCAAGACCACAATGAAATAAATTTAAGACCTATATCAAGTACGACACATATGAAGAAATATTGGAGTCCCAGAATTACTTATACCTTCCCTATAATTGAAGGTGAGGGGAAGAATAACCGTTGAAACTCCACATTGTCTCACCAACCACAGGAAGAGACAGAGGGCAACGGAGACACACAGCAAACTACAGCTACATAGTCTGAGATTAGAGAATGAGCGGCTGACAACCACACAAACACCTGAGGACCTGCACACTGTCTGTATATTTTTTAAATGTACTTTTTCAAATCAAAGTGTTCCAACACTGTTAACTGGAATGCTCTCACTGAGTATCCACCCTGACCTATTTATACTAACTTTTACTGCCGATGTGATTCATTCATGATTGGACCAAACCAGTCATGTTACATATGCAGTTGGGAGACAATAAAATATATGTCATGTGCAATTTTTCCTAAGCCTACAGCTTGTCCTACACTTCAACATCTGGTTGGGGTATCGCAGTTCTGTTTGAGATTGTATATATTTAAATCATCGTTTCTGTGTCAGTTTCACAACTGTTACACTGCAAGATAAAACTTATGTAACTACATATTTTATACACAAATGTTTTGCAGAGGAAACTTTTTGATTGCTTATCTCAATCACGCACACACATTCCGTTTCGCGATGCAAAAACCGATTCCAAAATAGGTTTGCTTATCTGGGCCTATGTGTCTGATCAGTGGTTGAAGCCATTGAAGTTTCCTTGCTGTGATTACGTATGGTGATGTATAGTATGAATAGGACAGTACTCAGAGCTCCTTCGTCTCAGGTCACATTATCCAACACCCCCCCAGCTCATTGCGTATACAGCTCACCCAGATTTTGTGCCCATTTGATGGCAGTGCCTGTGTCTGCTGAATTGCCCTCTGCCAGGTAAACCACTTCTGAGCCGATCTTCCATCCCACCAGAGGATACAGACCTACAGAGAACAAACACCGGTTTGTAACATGTCTGTATATGTTGATATATAAGTATGAATACTCTAATCTTACTGTGTTTTGATTTACCTGCTACAGATGTATGTGGTTTGCTTCCAGTGTTGATGTTCATGAAGGTGCCTGTTCCCATGGTGATCTTCACATCACCAACATCGAAGCAACATTCTCCAAACATGGCCGCCTGCTGGTCCGCCATCTGCAGCAGAGTGACAGAGGAAGTCACAGTTTGTTGCAAACACAGTGAATCCTAAACATGTTTAGTCTCAATGCAGCAACACTGAGTTTGTCTATAATGCACATGGTGTATGATATGGGATAGTGCAATTCTTATGTCCATGGTTTTACTTCTCTACTATATAATTTAATTCCTTCCTTGTTTTATATGTACTGTCATGTCTCTTTTTCATTTCTACCATGAAGGGGCTATAAAAACAATTTAATGTTTGGCACAAAGGTCTATATTAATTGTATCTAATAAACATTTTATAACTCATCATTAACTGAATGAGAACCTGAATACAAGCCTCATGCTCCCAGTTGCTGATTGACTAAGTTGCTGGGATAATTATCCTTTTTACAACATAAAGACACTGACACGCTGGCATAAATACAGAAGGTCGCAAGTAATGAGTTTTTTTTATCATAATCATCCAAATAACATGGGTGATGCCAAGATTTTGACAACTTACAACTGACATGATTGGAATGGAAACTCCGAAGATTGACGGGTCTGTGGAACCAAAGTTGTGGCTGGTGCACCGTGGAGGAGAGATCAGAGACAAAGCATCACTCTCTGTCAACCCCCGCGAAAGCCAACTGGAGGCCATGGGTTTGCAATCATAATTATGTGTCTCTATATTATGATTCAGTATTTTACAGTTTCAAACATTGTGGGGATGCTGAAATGATTTGAATGTCTAAATAACTTTGAAATGTACAGTGAGCTGGAAGTTGAAGGAGATAGTTGACTCACCCTGTGTTTTCTACTTTGGGGAAAATAGAGAGAGGCAGAGATAAAAGAGAGCAGAAAAAACCACTCCAACACATCTGTAGAAATCAATAGTCACAATACAGTGAAATTAAAAAAAGAACTCACACCAAACACACAGAGAGAATCAGAATGTGACATACACCAGACCTGATAGGAGTCGAAAACGCCTGTTGAACTGGCGTTAGAATAATCGGTGGCATGAACGTGTCCTAAACAGAAAAGTTGACACAAATGGATGTATTAAAAACAAACAAAACTCTTGGACCTATTTCCAGCTCACCCTCTCTCACGAGAGTCAGCTGAAACATTTCTGAGGAATTTCATTGCTGACGCAATAGGATTGGAAACACAAAGAACATTCAACCTGGGTCTTACAATCCTGTTTAGAACTGAAGGAAATGTAATCCATTGGACAAATTCTATATATTACTGTACTGTGTTTAAAAAGAAAATAAGCTCATAAACAGATGGTTTACACGTGAACTCAAGCTCACCTTTAGTGAGTTTGAAGAGTAGCCAAGTGTCTATTGTTCCAAAGCAGCAGTTGCCTTCAGCTACCGCTTGACGAACCTGGACGAAGAGGGAAACATGATGAGGCTGAGAAGAGAGGTGAAGCCACAGCCTGGTTCTACAGTTCTATGCTGTATGTGTGAATGATTGTTATGAAATACGAGACTTTCATCGGTCAATACGTATAATATATGTTAGTATCCATTTAACTTTTAACTCTGCTAGCAGTCTATTCAACTGACTTTGCAACAACAATGTGGTGCAGTAAAGCTGAAACTATTTTATATTTATTCTCTTTGCCGGCATTATTTTGATCATCAATTAATTTTTTCTGTCATTAATTTTTAAACGAAAATGTAACATGTTCTCTGGTTCCACCATTTCAAATGTAATGATTTGACCCCTCCTATGGTTCATATCATTGTAAATTGAATATCTTAAGAATATGAGCAGTTACTTTGGCGAAAAAGACATTTTATAAAGCCTCCTTGAGCTTCAGAACATATTATAGGACATACATTATAGTTCACACAACTAACTCACCAATCAATACTGCTGTGTTAATCAACAATGAAAATAATTAGTTGGATGGAAGCCTTCTGGTATCAGATGAGACACATTATAAGGGATTTTGGTTTTCAGTGGAAACTCCTTCTGGATTCTGATAATATATAAATAAATAAATAATAAATAAAAAAACAGTGGGTCAGACCAGCGCACAAGTAGAACTGACTTAACAAGCAGTGTGTGTCAACACTGCTCTAGGGTCATTTCATTTGCCTGCACACATGTGTGAACTCACTCACCTGCTTGTAATGTTTCAGGACCCAGGCGAGGCGAAAGGTCACATGTTGAGTGGAGAAGACAATAAGACTTGCTGCAAGCAACCGTTTCTGCCTGCTAAGAAAATACAGCACCTTCATCACACCATGGATTGCCTGAGGTTGTTGGAGAAAACAATAAAAACAACAAAAATATGTGATGGGGGTGGTTTCAAATCATTTTAAAGTTCTACCATTTCATCCCTCCTCTCTAGCTGTATTTCTTATTCATGATACTTAAATCAAAGACTCACTTTCATGGTGCAGGATCTATTCCAGGAATTCACCAGGTCCACTGCCCTCTGGTCCTGCCAGCTGATGAAGTTATGATATGGAACTCCAGTATTTCTGTCAGATGAAAAGAGATGAAGTAAAATGAAACTGAAATGAAACCGGGATGGAAAAGAACTACACAGAGGCAGTTTGTTTAGCAGTGATTATTTTCAAGTTTGTGCAAAAGTTACTACCACTAATAATAGACTAATACAAATCAGTGATTTGATTATTTTAATTCATTTTACCTGTCCCATGTTGTGAAGGTGCCTCGTTGAGATGAAATCCCAAGGGCTTCTATCTGGCGCATTTGCACTCCTGCATCTATAGCAGCGGACACACACACTAAAAGTTTTGAAACTGGAACTTGCACATATTCACTATTGTATTCTTTTCCCCCCATTAAAACAGGGGTGTTTTTATGTATATTGGCAAAAAAAACTTTCACGTTTTGGTATAATGTAATTCTATAAAACAACAGCACAGAATACAATGGACTAAAATAAATACCTTTCTGACAGGACTAAATGAGTCTGGTGTGCATACCAGCACTAAAATGTAGAAAGGTCAGGTTTAAAAATTCCAACCTCAGGGTATGGTTACCAGTCTTCTGACTGATTAGACCTGTCATGGTATCTTCAGAAGTTGTATAAGTGGACATAAGCAAGAAACACATGCATGTCTATGTCTATGTATATTTGAACAACTTCTGAAGATACCAGATTGGAAAAAGTTACACACATACAATTTACATTCACGCTTGTATGAGGCAGATTCACATCTAGTCTAACCCTTGGTATAATTGTGTATAGATGCAACTCTACCTTGCACAGCTCCCTTGACCACATAAATGAAGTTTTTCCATAAAACATCTGGGTCCATCTCCACATGTCCAACCTCTGGAAACAAGGGAACCACCTGGAGGGAGCATTAGGACAGAATAAGAATCAATGAATTAATAACACTGTGTTGGATGTGGGTGTTGTGAGAGAAAGCGAAGCCAGGGAGATGAAAAGAAGAAGACCTGGGTGTTGCATGATCCTCGGATATTTGCCTCCTTGTCATAGACGTGACACCTGATGGATGTTGTACCGACGTCCACTGACAAAATGAAACCTTCCTTCTTGAAACCGTTCCTCTGACTCCCCATCGTGGAAAACGTCCTGTCCTCAAATCAGCCGCACGGCTTCCATCGCCCGCTCGTGTGGCTCGTGTCAGCCCGATAAAAACCTTTATCTTAATCGGCTGATGTGTCGCGTTGAAGCTGTAACTTGACCTTCGTACCAGTGCTTCCACCTCCAGTCCCAGTCCATGTAGCTGTCCGACCTCCCGAGTCCGGATCAATGCGTCGCTGAAGTTCGTTTCCTGTGGAGCAGACGCGGTGTGAAGAACACAGCGTGGTTCAGCACGTTGAGAATCAAACTGAGAGCCAGCTTTAGTCAAAACTAAGCCTCTGCACGCTGAACTCCAGCCGCATAGCTGAAGCAGGAGTCGGCCACCTGCAGTCGGGGCTCGGTTCAGGTCAGGCTAGCTCATTGGCTAGCTATCAGTAACTGAAACTTGAGCGCAAAAGTAGCTTCCACTAAATAAACCGCCATTTAAAACCCATGAGTTGTACAATAACAACACTACATACACCGTATGTACATACAACACTGAAACACAGGTCGTTGTTTCGACATTATTTTCTGTTATTGCTGTTTTCCTTGTCGTTGAATCGCCTAAACGTCAACGACAGCTTCCGTCCTTGTCGGCACCCGTACTATACCACGCATGCGCAGTGCGTCGTGTTAAACCCGTCACATGTGGGTGTTTGTAGCTGAACACACGTGTGGACACCGGCTACGACTTTAACTTTGTGCTATCGTGACGCACATCATGGCAAAGACAGACGTAAGAAACGCGTTTACAGCACAGTTATTATCATTCATATTAACCAGGCGTCACCGTGCATTAAGCAACTAGCTCGAGGCTAACTGTTGTTTGATGCTGTTAGCTGCAGACTGACTAGCTAACAGTTAGCTAGTGAGAGTCGTACCGAAAACCAGATTTCTGCCTGTAAACACAAACTGGTTCTAATACAACTGTACAACTTTGTTAACTAGCTTGTTTAAAGCGGGTCAAAACTCATAATGACGTTATTAGGTTTAACTATGAAGTTCGGCTGGTTAAAATCTGTTAACTTGGTTGAATCGACACATCTTGATAACTAAGAGTCTGATTTCTCTAAAACTTTGGTGAAGCCTCTGGAATCATAGGAATTTCCACGGTTTTTGTGACATATTACTCCGGATTAAGTCATTGGGGTTTGTGAGAGAACACTCGTCATTTGGAGACATGACCTTGGTTTCTATGACATGTCAATGAATGCCATATTTCCATCTATTTATGTGATTTTATAAATTATACATATTAAAACCTAATTGTTGAATGCAGTGGATTTGAACCTTAAGCCCTTGTCACACTGTCATTATGTAATTCATGTATTTGTATCTTTCAGACTCCAAGACGGAAAACAAGACAAAGAAAAGCTGTCACAGTTGGAGCAGAAGGGCCCATCACTGGTAAGTCAATTCTGTGAAATAAATGAACATGTACAATGAACATGATTGATTGGACTTAACACTAAAAACTTCAGTAGATATTTTTATTAAAGATTGAAGTTGTATTATTTTTCAGAAGAACAGACTGAGACTGTCTGTTCAAGCGAACAAACAGAGAACACAGAGACGAAACAGGGGGAAAAGAGCCAGGATGAACAAGGTGCTGTAAACACATCACTTATTTAGTGTTTGACTGAATTTCTGAAGAATGTTAGTATTAAATAAATGTACGTACGTGTCCAGATTCTCAGATGGACTGTGTTATTGAAGTAAAAGGAAGCAAACCCACTGTGGCTGTATCCTGGGAGAAGACGAATGAAGAAGAGGGCAATGATTCAGAAAAGAGAAGCAATCCAAGTGATCAGCTGACTGACCAAGAGATGATGGGAAATGGTAAAAAGGACTGGGCATTGTGTATTTATGTCACAAGATTTGTAACAACTAATAACACAACCCTTTAGTCTGAATGACAACACAACTGAGAAGTAATGACTTATTTTTTCCCAGAGTTAGAGTGTGTTGTTAGCCTCTGTTTTCATGTAGGTGTTGACACCAAAAATTAATGCTCATCATTAAATTTTAAGTCATAGTCCACCCAAAAACCTAAAAGTATGAAACGCGTTGAAGCTTGAGCAAGTTCTACAAGGGGTTTGCTGGTTTTTCCGGAGAAGGGGGACTGCATTCACAACATGTACAAAACATTCCAACATGTTGACATTGTTCTTATATTACACAGAGAACACTCCCAATGAGGATTCTGAGACAAAGATGGAGCAAGAGATGCAGAAAATTGAAGACAAACAAGGTATTGGAATTACAACACATACACCTCATCTGAAGATAAGTGAATGTCTGAAAGCTATAAACAATTTGCCTGAGTGCAGTTCTCAGCTTTGCCAGTAATGAATTTTCCTCTTTAGAATCTCAAATGGACACCGAAGAGAATGGAAGTACAACCACAGTAACTGAAACTGGGACAGTGAAGCCTGAAGAAGGACAGAGCAGCTCGATTCAACAGGAAACCAATGGATATGAACAGATGGTTGTTGAAGAGAAACCAGGTAAGGACAGTTAACATGTTGTAGTCAGTGATTTAAGGATACAGTTGAGACTTGAAGCCTTTACTGCGCAGCAGGATATGGATTATCAGGGTAGCTTCAGGGTTAATTCTGGGTTTTCAATCCTACGAAGCCTGTTCACTTCGTATTGGTTCATTACCATGCTGAACGGCTAACCCACTCCGCTTGTCTCTACTCTGATGAGTATCTTAATGAAAGATATAGATCCCCATCTGAGGGAATGATAAACCTTTCTCAGCTGCAGGAGCCGAACATAACCAAAAAAAATCAAACAAATCTCTGTTTTATCGTTGAGCAGCACACAATAAATTACTCAGCTCCACTCTTTCTCCAGAGCTGTTTTCAGACATGCATTGAACTAGGTACATTTTCCTGAGATTTTTTTGTGGGGGTTATTTGTGAGTCAGTCGCTCCCGACAGCCCATTTGAGAATTCAGCAGGAAAATGCGGAATGGACGATTCACACCGATAGAGCGGGCGTGTTGAGGATGTTTCTAACACATGATGGATGCAAAACTAAATCAAACCAAAAAATTTGAAATCTTAGGATGTAAAATTGATGCTGCACAAGTAGAAGACACAGATGAAGATCTCAAGACAGTTTTTGTTAATGTGCTGTAAACAAACACTGTATGAGCGGACAATCACCTGCTGCGTTGGTCATGAGTGAAAAGCAAACTCTGGAGAAAGTCCGGACCCAATTTTACCGACATCCTCTTGAGTTTAGTGAGCAATCTTGTAACCAAATAACTTGCTGTCTATGTGTTACAGTAAAAACAAGGAAACGGAAAAGGAAGGCACAAGCTAATGCTGCGAATTCTCCATCAAAGAAAACAAAGCTCATCAATGATGGTATGAACTCAAATGTTAAATTCATTAAGTCCCTGTGTTTCTAAGAAGGTTCTGTCATCACATTTTCACTCTCTTTGTTGTTGTAGGTTTTTGTATTTATGCTGGCAACCTGAACAACTCCAAAACATTTGAAGAGGTTAAAGATTCATTAGCAAGTTATTTAATGACACAGAGTCTTCTGTTTCAAGACATCAGATTAGACCGGTCCAAGTGAGTATTTGTATTTTAACTGAATTTTTACTCTCATGTTTCCTTTTTTGAGCATTAAACCTATTGCAGATGAGTTTAACAGATTCTTAATCAACTCACCTCTGCTGTAGAAAACATGCACATGTAGATTTGGCCTCAGAGATGGACCTGACCAAAGCCTTGACATTAAATGGAGAGATGATCCTTGATAAGCCAGTGAAGATCGCCAAGGCAAAGGTCAAAAGTGCGGACAAGGTGAAAACACCAGAGGACAAAAAAGGTAACGCCTTGAATAGTTTCATTACAGTTTTAGATTAATTTAAATCATGTGCTACTTGTCACTAGATAAAGATGCAATGGTCATGCCTCTGTTCAACCCACAACCATAGGCAACATAATGATTTATGATGTGATCTGGGAATACAAAACATAGACATTTAATGTAAGAGGACTGCTCTGTCTGCAGCTGCCAGAAATGCCCGATGTTTGTTCGTGAAGAACCTGCCATTAACTGCAAAGAAAACAGACATTCAGAAAATCTTCCCAAGGGCCATCAACATCAGGTTTCCTGGTGGAGCTGAAAGACCAACCCAAGGGTGAGAGTTTTAAAAACTTCTACAACTGTGTCAAATTTGCATAATTCCCATAGTTATATATTCAGTAATGCAAGGACTTTATTTATAAACTTACTCTTTATAAGGAAACAAGAACAATGCTTATTCATATTTATAATTCATGATACAATATTAGGGCTGCTCAGGAAAAAAGTCCTAAATTAACCAGAATAAAGTTGTGATATCATGAGAATAAGGTCATTGTTTTAAGCCACAGGTCATTTTAGAGTTTCAATATCAGAGGATTAGCCAGTCAACAGTGTTAATATGTTATACTTAAGTTTAATTTTCACAAATAATAAAATACATTATCTTTCGGCTCATCAGCACCACAGTATCATAGGTATCAGGAGGATTGTACAAGAGTACTCTTAAGTAAGAATCACACAGATTGGAAGAGGTTTGGTAGTGGTCTCAAATACTCTGTTGTGGTAATGTTACTAAATGAAAATTGTTTACATGTCAACAGGATTGCCTTTGTGGAGTTTAAAAATCCAGCCATTGCGAAGAGGATACAGAAGAAAAAACAAGGAGCCAAGATCAAAGGCCGAGTTTTAATTGTGGACTTTGTCGGAGAAACAAACGTGACTAAAGTCAGCAAAGCTTCTGACACCATCAGCAACACAAAAGGTATATTCTAGACAGTTAACAAATGCACTGTGAATCGTTAACATAACACTAAAGCTAATTAACATCAGTTAATTAAATCTGGACTTTTTAGCATTTTTCACAAAATGTTTTTCCTCATTTCTCACAGCTGCTGCTCCTCCAAACAACACGTTATTTGTTAGCAACGTGTCTCACAACCTGAGAGAAAAAAACTTTAAGAAATTATTTCAGAATGCTGTTAGCATCAAATTGCCTCAAAGCCAAGGCAAATCAAAAGGGTAAGTACACTGGCCCACTTTGTCCTTTATTTCAAAAAAGAAAGTGTTTGAGTATTCTCAAGAAATGTCTGTAATTCTCTGCAGGTATGCATTTGTTGAGTTTGCAACCGTGGCAGAAGCTGAAAAGGCCTTAAAATCAACCCATAATGTAAAGATCGGCAAGAGGACAATGAAAGTGCAATTCTTTGAAATGAGAGCCAACGCAGAGAACGCAAAAGGTATGTGTCATAAATCCATGTATGTTACCACTCGTCTCATAAGCGGCCAACAGGTTCATTTGATCATAAATAATGGCAACAATCAAGTGTTTCTAAAGTCATTTTGGTTCTCTTCAGACCTGGTATTAACATCTGTCCTGAGAAATCTCATCATAAGTGAACAGCGCACTTTAAAAATGGCATTAAAATGAGCCCTGAATGTGTCCCCTGTGACCCCTTGTGATTCCCTACTCTATGTACAAATAAACATCATTTGTGGGCCATTGAGTTTATATGAGTTATGATACTGGTGATACAACAGTTGTGTTTTGTTCTCTGTTTAGTGGATTCAAAAACACTGATAATAAAGAGCCTTTCTGAGAACACAACTGCAGAGACTCTGCAAAGTGCCTTTGAAGGAGCCCTCACTGCAAGAGTCGCTGTGGATAAAGAGACCGGAGCTTCAAAGAGGTGGGGGGCATC